AAAAACAACCTTACAAAGATTGTGGACCAGGTGTCCGGTATCGCAAGATGTCCCTACAACCCTCACCACAACACCACTGCCCTATTCACAGAAGATGGAGACCTCTATACAGGGACCGTCATGGACTTCATGGCTAGAGACGCTGTGGTCTACAGGACCCTCGGTCCATCGGCCCCTCTCAGAACGGCCCAACTCAACTCAAAGTGGCTCAACAGTGAGTTCAAAGTTTTATCGATACTTAGATTTTAGAAACTACTTTGGCAAAAAAGTCAAGGAGGTCTTTGGATTGGTAATTTTTGTCTGAAAAAATGCAGAGCTTACAGTATTAGAATCATGACCCATTTGTTGAAATACTATTGATTTTGGTTTTTGATAATCTGGGTGGAAGACTGATACTTTGCAGTATTTTTAAAGAAAATTGGCAAACTGAACATTCTATAACAAATCTCTATATTTCTGTAAAGGTAATGTATGGCTAGTCCTTTGCAGGCCGATTTTAGGCATGGAAGTGTGAACATCCTATCTCAAATTTTGATATTGTTTTTTTTTCTATATCTTGCGGTAGATTTTCCACAAATATGCGTCTAAGTTTCATTGTCATTTTTTTAAAATCTGTTCAACAGATCCCAACTTTGTAGCATCCTACGAGATTGGACCATACGTGTACTTCTTCTTCCGTGAGACAGCCGTTGAATTCAGCAACTGCGGACAGGTAAGTCTCTCACCTGACTTCATTAAATATTTCTCCTCTACTCGGACACCTAGCCTTTAAACACATTTTCCCTTTCAATGTCATCGTAGGAGATTGATAGTACATTTTCCAAGAACATACCACCGGTGTGTCGAAGAGAACTGCCATTGGGAACGATACTTGAAAGGTCAAGTGCTTCCGAACCCCCTGTAGACTATTCTCCTCACATAGATTTCAACTGCAAGTTCTTTTTCAACACCAGAGAATCGCCCTTCGATTAAAACCCTACCCGGAAACACAGAAACATCTTCTCCTTCCTCTAGCGAGTGTAGTAGGGCGGTAGACGCTATCTGTCCAAAGAAGCGTAAACACATGTGACCTATTTTAGGACGCTTGCGTGGTATTGATTATTTGGCCGATGCCCGAGATGCGACGCAGAGATTTCTGACACATTGCTCTGCGGACCAGAAGAGATAGGTCTGGTGTATCAAAGCACGTGCTTACGTCATGCCGAAAGGCCTGTACCATGGGTCGAGGAAAGGGAATATTAAAGTAATCTTTCGAGAGTTATCGTTGATTTGTTTTGGTTGAGATGTGCATGTCTCTGTGTCTGATGATGATATGGTGCCACTTGAGTTGAAGATGCCTGTCAAGTTACCCGGGCTCATTAATTCATCCTGCCCCCTGCTTGATTAGATACAGACATTCTGTCCTACTTTAAGCATCCTCTTCTTAAAGGTCTCAGCTGCCTTTGTCAAAGCAGCATATTCTTGTTCTAAATTATTTTTTGATTCTTAAAAGTCTTGAAAGCAGATAAACAAGTGCCTCGGTAAATTCTTATAGTAATTCATTGTTTAGAATCTTGATAAGCTATATAAGAAAGGATATTCTGATAGCTAATTTTGATTGACAGATTCTGGTATTAAAAGAACTTTCTGATTAAAGCAGCATTTTCTCATTAAAAAATACTGGTATATTTGTACTTTTGGATGTCACAAAAAAGTTGTTGAAACAATTGCCTTAATAATTCCTTCAGAAATGAATTTGTCTAGACTCGTCACATGTTATGAGACAGGGTAGACCGGGGGCTATAAATTCAAACTTCTCGGTGTTGATTGAAAGGATTAAAGAATAGGATTGATAGATAGTAATAACATCTCATGGGGTTTAATGCACTTGATATTAAATAAGAGGAATAAACACCAGAGGCGGTGAGACACAAAGAAGCGCTCACCGAGTATTTTTATCCGCTTGGAAAGGTCTTCGTGCCATCACTGCTCACCGAGATATCTGTTCTTGATCAAGAGAGTTCAGTCAGAGAAGGGGGAATTGATATATTTAGTATGGTTTGGTTTGTGGGATAACAGAATCATTCGCAAAAGTGGGTAAAACACTCAGCTGTACCGCCAATTCATCGAGCATGCTTTGAGAACAAATAAAGCCCATTGATGGTTCAATCAAACAGATGATTTTATTAGGCGGTTTGTGAAAGGATGTATCCATGAACTGTTATTCTAAAATTTGATTAAGGGAGGGGGGGGGGGTGGTAATCTGGATTTCCTAAATTCTATTTAATGAGATCTTACCATTATTGCACAGTGTGTATTTATAGGGAGGACCCGTCAAAGAAATTGCCTTAATCCACTACGTCTCCTTCTATATTATTTCACAGTTAAGCCTATTGTGGGACCCTGGAAATTCTGAATTTGATTTGGAAGCTCATAGAGCCCAATCAAATATCTATACTTGATCTGCCCAAGCAAATCATCCTACTTCATGGCAGTTAGCGAGTTTATGATGCAATAAAAAAAATGTCTGATCACTGAAAAGATGAGAAAAATGAAATTGGGATTGAAATTTTCAAGAAAATGCTTGATGGAATGAAGGATATGTGGCATGATGTACAAGTAGGGATAAGCATTCTGAGGTTGGAAAATAGGAACAGAATTGGAGCTTGTAACGGAAATTGTGATGAATGCATGAGGAGAAGCTAAAAATGTAGTCATATTGGCCACAATGGTGATGATGATTGTGAAGTTAATCATTAGAAATAGTGTTCCTATTCGTCCCTTAATTATTACTATAGACATGAAAGTAGAGCTTGTAGATTGAGAGATACCCAACATTTAACATTATTACACTCTTCGTTGGTAACATTTCATTTATCATAAAGGATCAGGGATATCGGTCAAAATTAATTTATATCTGAACCTTTTCTTCTTGTTGACGGACCATATAAGATAGAAATCGGAACCCAATTTCAAACAAAGTTTACTTCTGTGCCTGCTTGCTGATGATACCTGTACTTGTAAAGCATCATTCCTTCATATAGGGCCTATTTTTCCTTCAAATGTCACAAACAAAATGGCGGAGCATTATGGTGACCTGTTTATCCCATTTATAGGTTATACAACGGTCATATTGATGTAGGCTTTGAGGTGGGTCTACAAGAGATGGTATGATGTCATGTTGTAATGTAATACAAAGTTCAGATATGGTATGATACATCAGTCAGTGAGCAATTGTCTCTTCAGAATGTTCAGACATCATAGCTAGTCTTTGATTCCGCTCACCTGTATATGTAGGAATGAGTTGGTAGTGTGTCCCTTAATTGCTGCCATATAGAAGAGCAGAAATGTAAAAATTATCATCATACCTAACCGGAAAAGTGAAAATACAGTCGAAGTGTACAAATCGTGTAGATCGACAGATCATGTGAAAAAGGATGCTTCCATTCTTTTCAAATTTCAAAGAAAAACTGAACCCATGATTGATTTAAGCTGGCTGGAATATTGCATAATTAGGCTTATGTAATTAGAACTCTAATTTATACACTTCTGCTATGTTTGGAATGATTCCCTCCTGCCACCCTTCCACCTTGAGAAGTTTTTCAGGTAAGGTCTCCCTAAAACAAGCAATCAGTCACTCTTCGCACCACGATGCAGCCATCCCGCCCTGTATATCTCCAGATCACGATATGACGATAGACAGGGCTCACATACCCCGTCCCGTCGTGAAATCCCCCTCCTCTAGGGGGAAAGGAGAAGAAAACTGGGATTTGATCACCGCTGAAATCTGGTTGATAGAAAAAGTTGGAATCAGCGGGTATTTGCGCGACTTTTACGTCACTTGGCGGCTTTCTGTCTGTGCTCACCTGATGATTGGAAGCACACACGGTAGCGTGGACCGCTCACTGAAATCGTAGATGAATCAATAAGTGGCTTAATCTCGTCCAAATCTTTGACTAATAGGTTGGAATTCTTGAGAAGTGGGCACCGAGAAAAACGTAAATTCCTCTGTTTTTGGTTGGCAAAAGGTTAAGTAATAAGAGCTGTACAATAGAGCTAGGCCGGTACAGATTTCCTTCCCCCTTATTTTGACACCTTGAGAAGTGCCCCTTCTTTTGTTGTAGATGTTACGGGTTACGTGCAGGATCAGCATTAGTTTTTAGAATGAAATATTCATTTGCTGAAAGGAAATCAATTGTACTAATGTGTAGCCCAAAATTATTTAAAGTCAGGTGTATGTTATCTGCATGTATCTAAAGGCATATGTTGACTCCTTTAATTGAATGCAATGTATAATTAGCATTTTTTTTTGCCTTCTGTTTTGTTTTTTGTTTGCATCTAAAATATGTAAAGCTTTGTTTCAAGATGATGGCCATTTATGATACTGATTTTAGTAATGAATAGAAGAGACATTAGCAGTATGTTCCTGAGTTTGAGGATTCTTCACCGTGGATGTAGTGCAGCCATCCTGTGGAAATGCTAGAAAGGGATGGTCCAATCTCCTTACGCAAGGGATGGTCTAATTATGTGTCGAAGGTAACCGCATCGTCGCTCCTTCAAGTGCAAGAGGAAAGCCTTTGATTGTGTCCAGCCTACATGGCTCGTCTTTTGAGGTTTCTGGCAAGTCTTGCAGCAATGTTAAGGTCCCTTGGGGAATGAGCCGATTCCCGTTGGATCCTCTTCAACAAGAGACATAGTAGGTTGTGAGACGACGAGACTTGACGGTTTGCCAACATTGCAGGAGAATTGGAACTGAAATGGCTCGAGGGGGGTCATTGCTTATGGGCAAGATCCGGGATGTTTCCAGCAAAGTAAGCTGTCAATTGATTTATGACTTTCTACTCTTGGTCATTGACATGATATTTAATTTAATAATCATAATCAAAGACATCACAACCATTGCTTTTACTCTTGGGTTTGCATTAGTGGCAAACAAACAAATCAGACTTGTGACATTCGTACAGACTAAACATGTCTAGATTAATCTATCACACACAGTTTTAATTTTGCTGATACAACTCAAGGGAACGAGGGAATACTACAAATCTTATGCGTTAAGGATTTGCTGACTGGCTTGCTGGCTCTACTCGTAACTTGTGACTGGATTTGTCAATTAGAACCTTTCTATTATTAGCAAGTAATGCTCGTAAAAAAGAGACATGGAAAATCCAAGCTTTTCTTTGAATCCGCTATTTCTTCCCCTGCTGAGGAACGTGACTATGTAACCCAGCATGGTGAGGTGAGTAATGAAGGGAAGGATGTAGTAAGGAGGAGGATAAACGCAAACGAAACTAACCAGAAAGTGTTAATGTTCATTGAATGGGGATGATGACGTATAAAGGGACTGGCCCAGACGAGAATTTGGCCATTCTGTCCAATTTAATGCAGCAATCTAGTATATTTTAACTGATTTGAAAGGATGATAAGAAAGATGCTCCCTTGTTGGTCTTTCTTATTAGGGAACATGTGTGTTGAACAAGAAGGAAGTTGTATCAGTAGGGATGTCTCAAATATAGCAGATTCTGTTCAAATCTATAAATAATGAATATGAACAATTTGTATTTAAAAATAGCTTTCCAATAAATGTTGGCGAAACGAATCAAAATCTATTCAGATCTTATGAAAATTTGTTTTATAGATGTATTTAGAAAAGCTGAGATTGAATTAATTGAAAATATTCTTTTACAATATTAGAAAAAGGAAATTGATTGTTGAGAAAATGATATTTTTGCA